ATAGATTCTTCAGGCAAATTGGCTTGGTATGATATCGAATAACTCTAAAGAAAAGTGGGCTCACTGGTAATTAAATTATTTATATTTGTTTCAGAAGCAAAACCCCGGCAACGCCCCCGGACACCCTCAGTTCCCAAAGGTAAGAATAAGCTACATTAAAAACTACTCAGGTAAACCTCCATCAAAAGTTTGGGAAAACTCGATACATTCATTACCCGATGTGATCAATACATTAAATCTTTAACAGCCTATTATTAATTCATACGACTAATTAGCCAAGAAGTATACCGTGTTGGCTGTACTTCCAAGAAATAACCTTATTTCCAGTTCTTTTCGATGTTGATTCTTGATTAATCTTGTCTTTGTACTGCACTTCTGCTCACAGTTCCCTCTTTGTTATCTAAAAATATGAACTGGTTTTCCTAACCGAAGAGACATGAAATATAATTTCCATAAAAAATACCAAAACAATTAAATACAAATGTATTTAAATTGAAAAATGTAAAATCCTTCAAGGAATGTACATTTGCTACTAGATATACACATTTAAGAACTCAACAGATTTTAATTCTCTGTTAAAACTTAACCGTTTGTTAAATTTAAATTTAAAGATGTTAATCCTAACACGTGCGGACAGTAATAACGCTAGACTTATTTGACCTATACAGTCTTAAAGGCAAATTAATTTTTGCTACTCGATTAATTTTCCAATTAACTGACAGGCAATAATCACAAATTACACTTCTCCTGCGATAGGGAATTAATCACCTACACCTTCAGTATTAAAATACTCTTTTTGGTAAAAAGGTTACCTACCACGCAAAGGTGACCTTCTGTGAACCCAGGAGAGACATCTGTTGATAAGTTTGCCTCTTACACAACGTCAAATAATTAAAAGTACACACAAAATTAAATTATCATAGCATATTCTCTCCATACCAGATGGTAAGATTACAACGCAAAGACTAGGCAAAGTGGATTATGCAGTATAATTCCAAACTTTAATTAAATTTC